GCTCTTACATTCCAGTATTTAAAAATGGGGTTTTGCAGTTACTCCTTAAAATGTCTCCAGTAAATAATTTATATGGCAGGCATCTGGACACTTCTCCAGGTCTCCCCAATGTGAATTATCTCTCGCTTCTTCAAGTGGAGTACTTATCAGTTCCTAGATTCAGGGGTGGAGGACCTTGGAGAGTTCCTCATTGATTGTGTACAGCATAATACAAGACAGTGGGAAATAGGGCAGTGGTGGTACTGTCTATGTAGTTGGGTCACCCCTTAAACAGGTGGTGTGCTCTCTTCTTGCAGCAGGATGGGTTCATAACCTCCATCTCTGTCTGTTCAGTTGAGCCGAGGCCAGACACACATGTAGCCAAAAGTGAATGGGCACCATCTGTGAGGTCTATTCAACATGTTGTCCATGTATGGTAAGCTCATCACAACTAAAATCATGGTAGTTGGTTACAAGTTTTCTTTAATGGTGAGCGTTGCTTAAGGCAATTTCAAAATGATGGTCAGTAATTGTGATGTGGCAACTGTAAAGAATGGGTGGGAGTGTTATCTGAAATGAATAGGCTTAAAGAATAATTGGGATGTGGTCAGCAGGTTATTGCTCTCTGCCACAAAACATGTATGACCCATACCTAAGTTGAAAGTAACAGTATCAGTGTTATACAATGGTTTATTCAAATCAACAGTGAAGAAATACTGCTACAGAAAGTATGCCTCATAAAATAATTGCAATTATTCAGGACAAAGATGATACAGGTACTTTGCTTTAGGATAGTGATTGCTAGTTCCTCCTTCATATTTGTAGGTATATTGGCAGGATATGACTTGTATTTGTATATGTGTTTATCCATATATACAGTAAATAGTTGTATTACAGCATTTAAATATGCTAGAGCTACAAATGCCAAATCAAACATGCACTTAACTAGCCAGTAAAATGATTTTCATTTTGATAACTAAGTGAAACTTCTTGTTCACTCCCTACACACAGTTGTGCTTATGGATATGGCTAATGTGAATCAAACATGTTCATCTGTTACTCATTTTTTATGGCATCAATGAAAATGATTTGTATCACCAAGTTGAATATAAAATTATAACATATAGCCTTAATGTGTATCACAACATAAACCAACAAAATGTATAAACAAACAGACATTAAGGGTAATAATGGCTGGAGACGGCTTGAATGGGTAATGAAGAAAAACTTATATTAAAGTTTTTCTTCATTACCCATT